GTCCAATCTATAAAATGTTAATTTAACTCCCAAGTCAATACAATACGGAGTATATAACACTAAGACCACACAGAGAATATAAGAAGCTGTTTCAAGACGCTGAAATTTACTGAAATTGTGATTAACTCGATATGCTAAATTGTGAAAAATAATTATTTGAAATATCTTTTATTAACAAAATAAAAAATGATTATACTTGGGATAAAATTTAAAAAACTCTTCCAACAAGTCTAATTATAAAATAAATTCCATCCTTGGTTATTTTAATTGTTAGATAATTCAATGTATAGTATCAATCGTAAATGTAATTAGTGCTTATTAAACATTTAGCTGATAAAAATGACCATACTCCGTACAGAAAAAGAGATTACCAACCAATCAACCACGCTCTAATTCATGAAACCAATCGTGTTAATACTGTGTGATGATTGGTTATATTATTATAAGTTGATAATTAGAAAACATAATAGTCCAAACTCAAAATATAAAAATATGCTGAGAATTGAAGTAGTCCGACTCATTAGTTTTATCTAACCGACCAATGCACGTAAATATGAAACTAAACTATAATACGTTAAGAATGAGTACACAACTAATCAACTCGTCGTATCATAAACTAAAGAAAGGAAACCTCTTTTGGAAAAAGTTTTGTTTTTTCATGTGTGTCACCACATATATATGGTGACATAGTGACACACAAATTTTCGTTTTCATTTAATGAACTAAAATATATCAATGGGCAGTGATGATTTTTATATATATTTATTGTTTTTTTATATTTACGAACCTTATTTTGGTAATTATGAAAGCCATTTATTTTGAGGTTGTGTATAGTATCACTCTATTCTCTACTACAACTTTTGTTTGTATTCATTTTAATTTCGTAATTTTACATGCAAATTGTAATTAAGGATACTTTTGAGAATTAAATTTACAGTTCTCTCTAATTAAATTTTATACTACGTAATTGATTATGAACAACCATACTTGCCATAAGAAATTAGATAATGTGCGTAGTAATTGATCGAAATTCATCTAAAAATGAAAAGGAAAATGTGTCTTACTTAGATTTGACATAATTATTAATAAAGTAGTTGAAAAAAGTAAAAATTGTTGTTATAATTTGAGTATAATAAAATTAAAATAATATATACCACATATTTCTTTCCAAAAATGAAATGTGACACTTATTTTGTGTCAACTCAAAAAAGAAAGTAAGACAAGAAAATACGATGGAGAGAGTAGGTTTCTAGTTTCTTGTCGTTCTATTTATTACGTAGTATTCCTTCCGTAACTTTAAAATCTTCTCACTTCAAAAGTATGTAGATTAAGAGGCTGTATGACAACACTCTTTTTCGGCTTACAAGGCTTACCAGCCAATTTTTTCATCAAACACGTAATTTTTTGTTTTCGCGCCCTGAATTGTGTAATAAGTAGAAAAAGTAAGGTTGGAATTACTTTTCTGTCTGTATTAGCTGAAATTACTGTAGATGACCATTTTAAGTATTTTTACATATAATTTTTTCTTTACTTTTTTAATAAAATTTATTTTAAAAATAATTTTTTCTTAAATCAGCAGAAACAGCCAATGCAGTCACTTCAACCAAAACTTCATAAATTTTAGCATAATCAGCCAAATCAATTGATTTTCATGCTACCAAATGGGCACTAAGAATGGTGAAAGAGGATATAAATTATTGATGGTATGATGGGAAGATAATGTAATAGTGTGATAAAATGAAGGATAAAACAAAAAGAAATAGTTGTAATAGTGTGTTATTTCCAAAACTATTGAAGATATGATGAAAAGAATTAGAAATGAGAAGAATTTTTTGTTATACAAAAGTGTGAAGACTTTTTTTTGTTATATGAGGGAATATGCATAACTCCCAAGTCCCAACTTCTAATTTGGATATCCGCCAATGTCAAAGATGTGTTATGCCGTGACGGTAAATGTAGAAGACATGAAATTATTATACATTTTGGTAGTTTTCACATAGTCATCATATCCTGTTTTTATGAAGTCGTGAGCTGAGAATATATCTCATTCTATAAAATATAGTTATACAGAAACAATTCAATTATTTATTTGTATCTCCAAATATCTGAAGCTCATGTATGTGGCTATATGGTGCATTAATGGATATAGTAGAAAATAGAAATGATAGATGGGTATAGGTTAGGAGTTGGGCTAGCTATGTATCTATCCATCCCATAAGAGATAAGGTGCAAGCGGTTAATTGTGCTCCGCTAGGTAGATTGGCTTTACATGTAAATGGAAACTCGAAATTGGAAACAATAGTTTTTCTGTTTTTGGGATTGATTTTAAAAAATTACATTTTGAAGAAATTAATTTTGGGAAATTTTAAGTAGAAATTGTCATATTTAAAGTCTGATAATGTCAAACATGACAGAAACTACTCCAATTTAGGGAACAAAAACATGATAGTTTTATTTTACAATTTTAATTTTTTTTACTTATATTTAGGAAATTCTCCTTGATTTTTTCTAATAACTTTTGTCCGTGATCCTAATTAATCTTATACTCCGTAACTTATTTATTTGTAAATAGTAAATTTGTTCACATCAGTAACCTCTTCATTATAATGTACTGCGTATCATTTCTTCAAAATTGTACCCTAAAAGTTGACACCGGCGTGGCCTTATGATTTTTCTTAAATGTAATATAAATCGGTGAAAATGTTTTTAATGAAGGCAAATTTACCGGGTGAAGTTATCATACTATACCTACGACACATGTGATGGGTTCACATCATTATTTTATTACTTATTTCTATTTTAATTATTTAATGACAATATTTTAATTGATCTAAATGACTGTAAGGGTATCGTAAAATTTTTCTTAATTTATACTCGCATAAATTTTCATCAAGTTTGGGGTGAAGTATGTAAAGATAATCATTTTTAACTACAAGGGTTGTGAAGCCGTATATATATGATGTTTTTATTTAGACTGTTTTCAGTCTCATACTAGGCAGACCAAATCACAAACTAACATCAACTTAATTGGCAAAGTTGAGTGGGACGGAGTTGGTAATCAAAATAGGTGACAACTCCGGTACCCATTTAAAAAATGGGGCACCGTACCTATTATGCATTTGATTGGTCCAAATCATTATATGCTTTTTAATTTAGATTTAAATAATTCAACTGCATCATTATATGCTTTTTAATTTAGATTTAAATAATTCAACTGCATCATTCTTATTGGTCCATTTGGACAAAGTTACGGTACATTTGGGGTAGCATGATTATATTTTCTTTTCTTTTCGAGTATCCTCAATACAACTATCTTATATTTTTTCATATTTTGCGTATTATATTTCTCATTCTAGCTACTAATAAAATAAATTTCAAATTTTATACTCCGTAATTAATAAGATTCAATTTTTTTATCCATCATTTCAAGGAGTAGGAATAACCGAATTGAACCCCGGAATCCGACCCAACCCAAGATAGGTTACCAGGTTGTTTTCGTTCTCTCTTTTGATAGTACGCAGAAATTTATTAGTCCTATTTTGAAATTTTAAAATCTATTTACTTCTATTTAAGGCTATTTTCCATTTTCAAACAAAATCTGAAAAGTTCAGGCTCACTAATGATCTCTAAATTAAAGGCAACCTCAACTGGTCAAAACCCGAAATTATTACTCTTAATATGAAATCAATATGGAATATATTATCCCAATATTGTTTGATTCACATGTATCATAAACACAATATATATTAAGACAATTTATAATAGGGAGAATTTGACCTTGCACCCCAATTTTTGGGTGATATTGGACTTTGCACCCATTTAAAAAAAACCTTTGATTTTGCACCCTATCATATAACATTTGTGAAGGAAAATTTCTAAATGGGATGCCTGTCAAAGGATTTTGAAGTGAAATAGGGTGCAAAATCAAAGTTTTTTAAAAATATGGTGCAATGTCTAATATCATCCAAAAAGTGGGGTGCAAAGTCAAATTCCCCCTTTATAATATTGGCGTTTAAATCGTTGGTGGTTTAGGAGACTATTTATTACTAATAAATTGCAATGATATTTTGTGTACTCCATATTTAAAAGGAAAAAAATATTGTGATGATTTTTCTTTTGGGTTTAACCGATCCTACCTGAATCAGAACCTAACTCGGGCTACAAAAATCCAACTCGGACGAAATATGATGGATCATGTTCCGATTCCAAATTTTCATAATCCTAAAACCTACGGGTTAGATTTCCAAAATAAGTAAAACCTGACCTAGACTAGACCGATCATACCCCTGATAATTTTCTAAAATTTCAATAGATTTAGCCGGTTGAGCATAGACTCTTAATATAGTCACATATCTATCCACGAGTGTAGCAAGGGGTGGGCAATGCCATGTCCTGGCTCACCCAAATTTGAAAAAAAAATCGCTTTATTTTATGGATAAAACTTTTTGAGTAAAAAAATATACTTCCTCTATCCTGAATTTAATTGAAGTTTATAATTTTTTAGGTTGACTGACGATGAAGTTACATCATTCATGCAGATAGTTAAATCAATTTTTTTTATCATAGATAGTTAAATCAATTTTAATAATTAAAATTTTGGAAACTGCATTGTAAATTCTATAAAATCGCAAAATTCAAATTAAAATATACGGAGTATGAAGTAATAAAAAAATTATATACTATAATATGCCAGTAAATAAAATGAAACTGTGCAGGTAATCAGAAAAAATTGATTTTACAAATCATTTTAGGATGAAAGAAGTTTAAAAAAAGAATATACGTAGTATATTGATATATATATATATGCTGGATAAATTAATTTGTGCATGCTTACTCGCCCAACATTTATGCACGGGCTGGATGGAGTGAGTAGGTCCGTCTGCATTTATACAAGTCTAAATTTATCTGTACAACCATACATGCTTGCATACATTGATATATACACCAGCTAAGATGTGAAGAAAGATATTATCCAAGAAATTAATTTTACCATCATCCCTTTAACTTGCTTGCACAAGCAATAGGTAGAGAGGAGGAAGGGTGGTCCACTCGAGTCTATGGCAGACCGACTTGAGAGAGAAAAGCCGTATAAGATAAGGAATATAGTCATAGAGATAGAGGGAGAGTCTTCAAAACAATAATACTAATAATAATAATAATTATAATAATATCAATACTAATATTAAAATAATAATATTCTCTTTCTCTCTTTCTTGGTATGTAGCTAGCTAGCTGCCATAGTTGTAGTTTTACGGTGCAGTGTTTGTTTTGCTTCTTCTAAGCTAATAAGATTCCCCCCTGGCCTCCCATTATTATAGAAAAACAAAGAAGAATTCTTCCATCAAAGATATATATCAACTCTAAAGAAAGAAAGCAGGTGATGATGATGATGAGGATTCTATATGGTGTCATCATTATGCACATGTAACCAATTTTCTTATCATCTTCTGTTTCTTTTCTCTTTTGTTTTTGTTGTTTTAGCTTCTGCTGTGCTTCACACTCATTAAACAGTGTGGTTTTATCTTGGGATTTAGCTGTTTTCAGCAAAAGCACAATCTTTTCATCAAATTTGTTTCTTCTTTCACCTTCCTTTCTTCTTCTTTTTCTTCTTTCTTTATTAAAAGAAAGCCATGATGTCATCATCTGATGATGCCCTTTCCTCCCTCACCTCCTCCATGAGAGCCTTCATTGGCAACACCCAAGATCCCATCCAAAACCCTAATCCGAACCCGAGCCCGACCCCAAACCCTAACCCGAACAAGCGAAAGAGGAACCTCCCGGGCAACCCAGATCCGGATGCAGAAGTGATAGCTCTCTCCCCCAAGTCATTGATGGCCACCAACCGCTTCGTCTGTGAAATCTGCAACAAGGGTTTCCAGAGAGACCAGAACCTGCAGCTCCACAGGAGGGGTCACAACCTGCCATGGAAGCTTAAGCAAAGAAACAACAAGGAAGTTGTGAAGAAGAAGGTGTACATCTGCCCCGAGAAGAGCTGCGTCCACCACGACCCGTCCCGGGCCCTCGGCGACCTCACCGGGATCAAGAAACACTTCAGCCGGAAGCACGGCGAGAAGAAGTGGAAGTGTGAGAAGTGTTCCAAGAAGTATGCTGTCCAGTCCGATTGGAAAGCTCATAGTAAGATTTGTGGGACGAGAGAGTATAAATGTGACTGTGGAACTCTTTTCTCCAGGTATGTATATTTATTGTATATTGTCAAACATATACTTATACATATAATTAATATACGTAAAGATACACAATTACTAGACTGCCGTATTTATTGCAAATGGCTTTCCTTTATTGCTACCTGAGATTGTATGGAATTGGAAAGTAATTAATGCTGCTGGAATAAAAATCTGATTTTTTTCTGTTTGGAACAGAAAAGACAGCTTTATAACTCACAGAGCCTTTTGTGATGCATTGGCTGAAGAGAGTGCCAGATTCACTTCAGTACCCAATCTAAACTTCCGGAATGAGCTGCTGGGAAATCCTCACCAATTCGGATCTCATGTCTTCCGGCAGCCCCAAAATGACCTTATGGTCGGGGTGGACACGGGGAGTCAGCTCGGTCTCGATGGGCAAAAGCCGAGGTTGCCGATTTGGTTGGATGCGAACGCGAATTCTCATCATCATCTTGGGAATGTCAATGAATTCTTGGGATCATCTTCTAGCGGTGGCGGTGGAGGAGGTGGCGGTGGAGGTGGAGGTGGGGGATTATCCCATCATGAGCTCCTACAAATGACTGCACCCTCGTCGAATATGTTGGGTTTGTCCTCCCCTAATCTATGGTTTCATGGCGCAAGTGGTAGCACGCCTTCCTCTTCGCTACCTCCTGTTATGAAGGAGGAAGACGAAAGTAAAATTAGTTCCATGTTTTACAACCACCTCCAAGAAGCGGCGGTGAAAACACCGCCACCCGCCCGCTCATATGTCGGCCACCGCTCTTTTGCAGAAAGCCGCCCAAATGGGATCAACGTGTAGCAACAATAGTAACAACAACAATAATAACTCGCCTTTGTTTGGTGGTGGATTCGGCTTTGTGGGGTCCACTCTTTCCTCTCTCGGTAGTTTCAATTCAAGAAATGAAATTCATCATCATCACAACCATCAAAGTTTTGGAAAGCAACAAAATCAACAAGAGCAATCGCACGATCATCACCGCCACCAACACCACCAGAGTCTGAATGGGTCGATACTAAGTGCTCCAAATAACAATAATCAAGGAAATGATCATCACGGCTTGTTATTTGGAGACATAGATTCTTCACCGAATCCCATGGCGGGAAATGGGGAAAATTCTTCTTCTTCACATGATCCTTCTTTGATGTTGCAAAGTAACAAAGGTAAACAGTTCAATCACACTATGCCTAGTGGAAGTAGTGAAGTAGTTGAAGGGAGTTTGACTAGAGATTTTCTTGGTGTTGGTGGGAATGACAATAGAACCTTTTTTCAACCCCATGAGTTGGACAAATTGGCCTCTACTCCCATGCCCTTGAATGATTTTTCTAGACATGGTTAATGCGTGGCACACTCCCTTCCTAGTTCTATTCAATCTCATCTTTTCCATCTTCATATTGAAATCTAAATCACACATTGTCTCTTTGAGAATCAATCTTATAGATCCAAAATGTCATATCTTGGTGAGATTTGCTCTCTTTGTCCTATTTTATTTATAAAGTGGGTTTTTGAGGGGAGCATTAATAAGATGATACAATGTTGGGAAGTTGATTGTATGGGGAAGATCAGATTATTGAGCTAAGCAAAAAGAGATGATTTTGGAAAGGAGATATTTGAATTGAACTTGGCTTTCAAGATCTTGTGAATTGTCAGAGGGGAGCAAGTGAGGGGTGGGGTACAGTGTGAGAGGTGGGGGGTACGGTGGGGCCCACTGCATGCTTGAAAAGACTTGACAAAAAGCGACATTGCAATCACAAGGCAGGCAAGCTTTCCAAGCTCCATCGTATTACTTACTGCATGTAGAAATATTTTTCTTTTTTCTTTTACTAAATTTTATTTTATCTTTCTTTTTTGTTTTTTTCCTGGACCACCGCAAGCTTGTGACTATATAGGGACAATGCTACAGTTCGAAGCATAGTTTAATTATTTTTTAATAATGTTTTTTTGTTTGGTTTATGTAGTATTATTCCAGATATGAACATGCATATTTGATTAATTAGCTCAGAACTGTGTCACTTATTGAGCTTAATTTCTCGAATTATTAATTGATCATAGAAATTGGGAGGTGTGAGGATAAACTTTGACATGTTGTTGACTTATGAGGCTAGAATGCCAGCTGTACTAGGTCTATGTGACTTTCCTAAGATTCATGATATAGCCTTTTGTTCAACCAAGATTTTTTTCTACAGGATTAAGGTAGAATTTCTAGGAATAATATATGAGCCATTACTTATTCACTTAAAGGGTTAGTAGATGTTATTTTATCATTCCATGAACTACTCTAATTAAGCAGCATGGTTATGAAAATATTACACCCAACTTGCTATTTTCATCAATCCATTTTTCATATTTTAACATTTGGAAATGTGTTAGGTCTGTTGCATTGTGCACTTTCTATTGTTATACGGAGTATTTGGTAAATAAAAGTATATTTAATTATAGGGAAAAATAAAAGTATATTTAATTAATAAACTAAAGAAAAAGGTATATGAAAAATAGCTCAAATTGTCCCTGGCATTACTTATTTTTTCATTATTACACCATTTAGCGGCGAAATCAAAAGGTACATATTAGGTGAAAGATTGATTGATAAGGTTGATAAGGCGGCAAAAATGGTAACCAATTGGGCTCTTAATTGTATACTAGTACAATTTATTTGGTAGTTCAAATAAAATGTTTAAATAAATGAAATGTAGGTAGATAATTTTGGTGTGAACATGAGTATGATTCCAAATCAGGAGATTGACAGTATTAGTGTTTATACGTTCAATCTCTTAATAACATTTGGCTCAAATCTTTTGAGGACATGTTTTTGAACTTTGAATGAAAGATTCCTTACGTACGTAATACAGTAGCTACTACTTTTAAGTTTTAGTGAACTACGTAGTAAAACAAATGTGAATAAAAAATGATGGTTAAAGTGTTATTCCTCGTTTCAGTTAAAAAGTAACTTTTCACTGTATTTTAGTTTGAGATGATTCCCCGGAATAATGGGCCAAACATCATTTTGGTATTTAGTTGTTAAGCTTAACAAGTCAAAAGTGCAATTTATTTAGGTGAAAATCTAAAAGCAATCCTCTAACTTAGAGGCAGTAACATGTTGAGTCTCGACTCTCGTGTAATCATGGGGTAGCACCGTACCAATTTCGGTTTCATAACATGAATTTGGAGATTTTATATAATTCTAAGTCCAAAATCAATGTGTAATTTAATACGGACTCACCTCAAAATAATAATTATATAATATAATAGTAATCATTAGTGCTTTGAATTACTACTATAATCAATTCACTTGGATTTATTCTACTCCATATACCTATTGAACAAGACCATATCAAACTAAATGTAAGTAGGTCATGTGAGACTTAAATAAACTATACATCATAATTATACTAGAATGATATTAATATTAAGCGATGATAAAAGTCACATAATTTCAAGGGAAATTATCATTGACCTCCCTCGAGGTTTCATGTATTATCACTTAGACCCCCACACTTTTGAAAATATGTGTTTACCCCCCTCCCTATCCTTTAATGAAAATTTAATAACTCATAATTACGTTTAGCAAAAGTATAAATTTAGTTTTACAAATTTTCTCACTTGCAGATTTAATCTGATACTTAATAAATTTACCTGTATTAAGAATTTTTCTACCAGAAAGTGCTTTTTTTGCAGGAACACATACTTTCCGATGAAATAGTCCTTACTATTGACAAATTTATTAGGTACTTAAATACATCTACATGTTAGTAAAATTATAGAACTAGTAGCAAACACAATCGAAAGGTACAAACTTAAAACAATAAATATCTATTACTTTTAAAAGTTCGAAAATATATCTGAGATTGTAGAAATCTTGGTGAAACTTTTCTAACGAGGGAAAAATGCCTGATAACGAGGAATATTATTTTATATCTAAAATAGATGTTGGAGAAGAACTTTTAGGAGACTATCGTGACCTATTGTTGATTCGTATGGAAAGTGGTCAAAATACCTACTTTTGTTATTCATATTCGGGGAGGACAAGGCCCGATCTCAAGAATGGCCGAATTTTAAATTAAGAATTCAGATCGGGATCGATACCAGACTGGTGAAAAAGAGGCCTCGTGCCTCACTCTTTGGGATCGGGATTGGAGCCCTTGTTTTGACCTCATTCATTTTTTTTCATTAAAACCATTGAGAATATTTTAAGATGAGTTATAGCCCATTTACAAGTTGAAAAATAGGTCGTTAAAATATTGGGATAAGGGTCAGATAGGGCCTCGAACTCGAAAAAAAATGTCAAATAAGGTCATATTTAGGATGCTCTGTCCGGCCGACGCCATTTGGGGCGGTTCCAGATGCCATTTTTTGATGATTTTTTTTGAGCATCTTCCTCATTAAGTCTAGTTTACCCATACCAAATTTCAGCTAAAAATTCAACCGGGAAGGTAGTCAAATAATTTTTTGAAGATAATTGTGAAGTTAAACAACCCCGTACATTTCGGAAAATCATTTGACTACCTTCCCGGTTGCATTTTTAGGTGAAATTTGGTATGAGTAAACTAGACTTAATGAGGAAGATGCTCAAAAAATTTCATCAAAAAATTCCATCGGGAACCACCCCAAATGGCGTCGGCCGGACAGAGCATCTTAAATATGACCTTATTTGACATTTTTTTTCGAGTTCGAGGCCCTATCTGACCCTTATCCCTAAAATATTTGAATTATTGGGAGCGAATCTTGACCAATTAGGAGATTGGAACCGAATATAAGGTCATGGGTCGCCCTAATTATTTAGCACTAACCAGTTTGGGTGTGCAACCCGTCCTAAACTATAATTGATTTACCAATATTTTTACATGTAAACATGTTCATATTTTGTCAAATATTAATTTACAAGCTGTTATTATACCTATAATGATCTCATTTCCAGTGATAACAAAGAGTGTCTAGAGTGCAAATTGGAAATTTTCTGGCATTTAATTTTTAATGGTAAAATCGAGTAGTAAACTTCATTTTTGAGTGGGTCTGGTTCATTTAAGTTGATTTGTTTCAATTTTTGACAAATTTAGCGTATTTTGATCATTTTCAATTGAGTAAATTTACTAACTTTACAAATTGGGAAAACTATCAAATTAGCCCCCGTACTATGCTAAAAAAGTCGATTAGGCCCTCGTACTTTACAAACACTCAATTAAGTCCCCGAACTATTAAAAAAACGTTCAATTAAGCCCTTTCGGTCAGTAAGTAACCGGTTTCTCGGTTAAACGGCGATAACGGCGATGATGTGCTCGAACCCCGGCAACGGCGGCTGTCGGGAAACGAGTTACATTTAATCGGGAAATCGATTACTTACCGACCAAAAGGGCTTAATTGAACGTTTTTTAATAGTTCAAGGACTTAATTGAGTGTTTGTAAAGTACGAGGGCCTAATCGACTTTTTCGGTATAGTACAAGGGCTTATTTGATAGTTTTCCCTTACAAATTCAAAGGCATAAAACGAACTACCTAAAGTGAGGTCAGTTTTTGTTTTTGTTTTTAATATTTTGTTCGACTTTTGATAAAAATGTATTTAGTATGGACAAATTTATTAATTACCCGACCAAATTTGTGATTGAATAAAATTACAGTATTAAAAACGACATAATGAAAGGTTATGAAATTATATCTATAATTTGCTCTAAATATATATTAAGAGTTATTTAACCATCATTAATGGATAGGGGGGGTAAGATTATATTTTTGATAGTATAGGGGTGTGATTGATAATACATCAAACCTCAAGGGAGGTCAATGATAATTTCCCTAATTTCAAAGTAGACTATACTGAACTTAACTAAATTAGACAATATGCAAAACTAAATCAATTCAAATTAAACCAGAAAAATTATTCAAAACTAAGAGCATATCCAATGTAACAATGTCAACGCTTCACATATGGCATGAGGGAGTATATATAGAAATATTAATTTAAGTTAATGGAAATCATGTTTCTTTCTTTACACGATTTTCTATATTTTAGTTTATTTTGGTGGTTGGGAGTTTCTCAGTCATTTTTTGGTTATTTTGACTAATATTTGACCTTTTAACCAGATGAAACAACTAATAAAAAAGTTTGGTTATATAGCTTTTTTGTTTGTTTTTTTATCTTAATAGTCAAAAATTAAAAAGCTAATAAACATGACGTTTTGACATTAACAGTTTTAGCCTCTCTCCTATTTTTGTGTGTGGATAAAATGTAAGTATATATATATATATATATATATATATATATATATATATATATATATATATATAAAGATCATCCAAAGAGTTTAACTATACAGCAAAAATAGGATAAAAAAAATAAGGGCATCCTAAGATAGAATATCCCATCACCTCCAAAAACAATAGCATCATACACTTAACAACCAAGGACAAAATAGATGATGGGCTGCAAAAAGTCAATCAAAACCTAATCATATGGCAGGGATATAGGCTATATGAGATCTTGTACACAATGTATTCGATCCTATCCAGTACATCCTCCTCTTTGAAAGTAGCTCCATCAAAAGTAGTAGCATTTCGGACTCTCCAAATCTGGGCTGCCTTGGACTTGATTCCAGCCCCACCATGTTCTTTTTTTATCCACTTCACCGAGCTAGACAATGTGTTCATTTGCCGCGGCATCCCCAGCCAAGTCTTCACTCCTTTCCAAATAGTACCTGAAAATTTACAAGCAAAAAATAGGTGTGGTACCGTTTCCGGTTCACCCTTGCAAAGTGGACAAATTTTAACTAGGCCAAGCCTACCAAGATTATCCAACGTAGCCAATCTATTTCTAAACGCAAGCCACATAGTGAAGGAGAATTTGGGAGGAATGTAAGCCTTCCATATGAAGGACATCCAAACTTGAGAGGTTCCTCTCATACACAAAAGATCGTAGACTTTTGAGGATGAAAGCTTACCATTCTCCACAAAATGGCCAAGGCAACCCACGGCCTCCATTTTACCCCCACATTGGAGTACAACTTTATCACGCACAAGAGCTATTCTCTTGCGAAGTTGAGAATCCCTACGTTATGGAACAAAGTCCCACACACAACTATTTCTAAGATACACGCCATGTACCCATCTCACCCATAAAGTGTC